ATTAGTATTATTATTATTATCATCATCATTATCATTATTATTTCTTCCATCATATTTTACCTGTCTTACGATCCGTAATGATTATTATAATTACTAGCACAGTACCCGTGCATACGCACGGGAAAAAACGGTTGATCTACATATACTTTTATTCATGATCTCATTAAATATAAAAATAGATTTTTTTTCCTTACAATTTACTTTATTTCAAAAATGGAGTATGATAAGTGAATATAAAAAAGCATAAATCCATACAACAAATATTTAAAGTACAAGAAAATTAAAATATAAAAAATCGACATCATCCATTAAAATTTACTACGTAATAATAATTAGTGATGTTGGTAACAGAGTGAAATATTGAACTTAATTGTTAGAGTTTTGGAAAACTACCTTAAGAGAACGTATAGTAGTAATGACTTGTGATTTTCTTTTCTTATCATGTACCTAGTATTAAAGCCATTAATCCATATCTCATAATGCCACACATAAATTTTACATGACTAAAATACGTCTAGGTAGGAATATTTTATCTTTTTGTAGTGGTAGAGGTTGATATTTATTGATTGTCATAACATTGGTGATAATTATAGAAAAATATCTTCTCATAAGTTTAAAAGGTCATGAGAGAAAAAATATGAGATGAAATTATCTTATTATTATACCTAAAAGCGTTACATATGAGAGAGAGAATTTTCTCGCTCAATTGTTTAAGCCGGCTTATTATATACCTATACTTCTCATACCTAATCTTCTTTATTATACCTAAAAGCACTACGTATGAGATAGAAAATTTTCCCGCTCAATTGTTTTAGCCGGCTTATCTTATAACTAAAAGCACTATGTATGAGAGAGAAAATTCACTCGCTCAATTTTTAGCCGGCTTGTGAGCTTATCTTATGATCAAAATCACTTCTACGTATGAGAGAGAAAATTCTCTCATTCAAGTTTTAACCGGTTTATCTTCTTTATGCCTAAAATCAATTTGTATGAGAGGGAAAATTCTCTCGCTCAATTGTTTTAGCCGAATTATCTCATACCTAATATAAAAGCACTACGTATGAGAGAGAAACATCTCCCGTTGAATTGTTAGCCTTCTTATATTATCTTATACCTAAAAGTATAACATATGAGACTGAAAATTCTACTGCTCAAGTTTTAGCCGGCTTATCTTCTTTGATCTAAAAGCACTACGTATGAGAGAAGAAATTATCCCGCTCAATTATTAGTCCATTTATCTTGTTATACCTAAACACACTACATACGAGAGAAAAAAATCTCCTGCTCAATTATTAGTCCGCTTAATTATCTTATATACCTAAAACACTACGTATGAGATAGAAAATTTTCATGCTCAATTATTAGTTCGTTTATCTTCTTATACCTAAAAACACTATATATGAGAGAGAAAATTCTCCCGCTCAATTGTTAGTCCGCTTATATTATACCTAAAGCACTACATATGAGTGAGAAATTATTCTTAAAAGCACTGCATATGAGTGAGAAAAATATTATTAGTCCGGATTATTTGCAAGCTTATCTTCTTTTTATTATTATACCTAAAAGCACTAAATATGAGTGAGAACAATATTTCGCTCAATTGTTAGTCAACTTATCTTATATTTAAAAGCACTACATGTCTTCTGATACTAATACCTAAAACACTACATATGAGAGAGAAAATTCTTCCGCTCAATTGTTAGTCGGACTATCTTCTTATACCTAAAAACACTACATACGAGAGAGAAAATTCTTCCTTTCAATTGTTAGCCGACTTATCTTATATTAAACAGAACTACATGTGAGAGAGAAAGCTTTCACGCACAACTATTAGCAAGCTTATCTTGTACGACCTAAAAGTACTACATATGAGAGAAAAATTTCCCCGCTCAATTGTTAATCAACTTATCTTCTTATACCTAAAAGCACTACATATGAGAGGGAAAGTTCTTCCGCTCAATTGTTAGCCGACTTATCTTATACTTAAAAGAACTGTTTATGAGAGATCAAGTTCTCCCACTTAATTGTTAGCAATCTTATCTTCTGATACCTAAAAGCGCTACATGTGAGAAAGAAAATTTTACCGTTTAATTGTTAGTCGAATTATCTTACCTGAAAGCACTACATATAAGAGAGAAAGTTTTTTCGCTCAATTATTTACCGACTTATCTTATACTTAGAAGACTACTTATGAGAGAGAAAGATTTCATGCTTAATTGTTAGCAAACTCATCTTCTAATACCCCAAAAGCACTACATATGAGAGAGATAATTTACAATGACAATACTAACATTTATGAAATTTGATTTTTTTAAAAAAATTAGAGAAACAATGAAAACATTAATAAACCTTCATATATTTTTTAAATTTTATATATTGAATATTGATGTCATATGAAAGATTGTTAAAAATAATGAATTTTGATATACTTTTTATATCATGAATTATTTTCTTTATTTAATACGGAACATTCTGTATTGAGGTTGGAAAATAGGAAGATTGTTTAATAATCCTTCATTTTTTCTTAAATTTTATATATCCAATATTGGTGTCATATGAAAGATCGTAAAAAATTATGGATTTCGATATAGTTTTTATAAAAATTAGATAAATGTTAAAAAAGTTATAACACTTGGAAATAATTTAATACATATTTTCTAATGGGGATACTCTAATATCCTAATAAACCTAGCATCATCAAAATCTAAATACAATTATTCTATACAAATTTTATATATGCATTATTGGTGTCATATGAAAGATCGTAAAAAATTATGAATTTTGGTATATGTTTTATAAAAATCAGAGAAAACCTGAAAAAGTTATCACACTTTAAAGAAAATAGAATTTTTTATACAATGAGCCCCATTAAATAATTGATGATCCCACGTTTTTTGTTCAAATAGGAATTCAAATAGAAACCCATGTGAGTTAGTTTTGGTGAATTAGTTTAGAAAGCCATGTGTCATTCTTATAGGAAATGAGCAAATTGTGGAGAGATGGACACATAAGATTCATTAAGGGCATAATTGTATTTTAATGAGCTATTTCTTTTCTTATATATAAATAGAATAGATAACTATAATAATGATTAACATCCAATCAGAAAGATTCAGATCAGATCATATCAGATCAAAAATATTTAGATCAGATCAGATGGATTCAGATTAGATCAGATCAGAAAGATTCAGATCAGATCATATATAAAAGATTCAAATCAGATCATTAAAAAAAGATTCAGATCGAATCAGAACTTAAAAAATTCAGATCTGAAACATTCAGATCAAGCGAAGAGAACAAATTCTAAGTAAATTTAGTCTTCAATAAACAAGATGGTTTGATATATAAAAATGTTCTCATTTATAGATTTCAAAGGAAATGAAGGAAATAACAAATACTTATGACATCCCGCTAACATTGTCTCATACCAAATTTGATAACATGTGTGTGATTCTAAACCATTTTAACTTTTCTTGATAAGGCAGAGGTTATGGATGGACTCGAGCCGGGTGGCCCGACCCGGAACCGGCCCGGGACCGGTACTGTTCCGGCCCGACCCGGTGGCCCGGTCAGTGACCGATCCGGGTAGGCCCGACCCGTGGGTTTTCCGGTCCGGGCTCGGGTCACCCAAAACATGGCCCGACCCGGCCGGGCCCGAGCCCGGTTTGGGCCAAAACTTTTTTATTCAATTTTTTTAAAATTTTTGGGTTGGGCTGGGTATTTTGGGCCATTTGGGGTGGTTTGGGAGGTTGGAGGTGGGAGGGGGGTTAATTAGGAAGAGGGCAAAAAAAATTGATAATGGGCCCGGCCCGGACCCGGTGGTTACCCGGGCCGGTCCCGGGTCCACCACTCCTTAACCGCCGGCCCGCCCGGACCTAGGCCCGACCCGGACCCGGCCCGGAGCGAATCCGAGTCCATCCCTAGCAGAGGTAGGGATGGACCAGGCCCGGATCCAGGACGGGTCAGACGGGGGGTTTGGGTTGAAGGCCCGGTACTGGCCCAGGTTGGTACCGGGTCGAGTCGGGTCTAAGTTTTTTTTTTAAATTTTGGTTTTTCTAATTTATTTCTACCCTACCCCCCATCCCAAAACCCCCCAAACCACCCAGCCCCACGCCCCCACCCGCCTAGTAGCCAACGAATGCGGATAAAAATGGGCCCGGATCGGTCCCTGACCGGCTAAGCCGATCCACCAAAAATGCATCCCGTAGCCCGCCCCTTATACCCCCGGTCCCGGTCAGCTAGGCCGGACCTGCACTTTAACGGGCTGGGACGGGTACCAGGTCGGGCCGAACCGACGGTCCATCCCTAGGCAGAGATAATACCTAATACTTCGGCTAATAGTTAAAAGATTACAACTTTGGGCCCCAAAGTTTGGGGGGAAAGAAAGATGTTGACGTTCTAAACTGGTGGAAGGGAAAAGAAAGAATGTTCACGGTTTTAGCAAAGATGGCTAAGCAAGTGCTATCAATGCCGGTTTCAACAGTTGCCGTGGAACAAGAATTTAGTTCGATTGACAATGTCCTAAAGCAAACTAGAACGAGGTTGAGCGCATAATCTCTTTAAATACTTATATGTTACCAGGACTGGTTGAAGGCGACTCGTAGAGCTCAAGAAATTGACATCACCTCATCCCAACACTTTATGGATTAATCAACAACCGATGGTGGCTCTACCTATGTCGGAGATTCCGATTGATTAGTATTTCATGTATTTTTTTCTCAATTGTCAAATGTAGCTCGTATTTCATTTCAAATAAATGCACTTAAAGTTTGTTTTTAATACTTGTATAAAACTATAAAGTACAAATTTCATTTTCATTTTCATTTACCCCAGTGCCGCAAAGGCTCCCACCTACGGTGGGGTAAGGGGGGTCGGATGTAAGCAGTCTTACCCCTGCACTAAAGCAGGGAGAGACTGTTTCCGGATGACCCATTGTGAAAATCGCGTCCAAAACTATACAGTACAAATAAGTAAAAAAAAATGGATTTGCCTAGACCCAACCCGGCCCGAGTCCATGACTACTTTGGGGGGGGGCAATGTTGACACTTTGATCCGGATTTCACGGGATTAATTTGAGGACAAACTGGAATAATGATCCGAGTCCACCAATAATAATAATAATAATAATAATAATAATAATAACTCAAGCTTTTACGATCTGCTAAAATAGCAAAAAGTCAAGCAATGCAATTTCAGTGCATGATGATGGACATGGTCACAGCAAAGTACACATGGGGAGTGGGGCCTTTGCAACTTCATAAAAGTCATTACAAACTACCATATCACAGCCAACACCTGTACATTTCACATTTGAGAGAGGCCTTCGCTACTGTGTACGAACCCTGCTATTCTCAGCTGCCCTCACTTGGAAGAAGTATGAATGGGCCTGAGCATAAAATGGAAATGGTTAGTCACCTTGATTAGGGCGCATGGGATATGTAATACTAGTACTATTAAATCCTTTATATGAATGTTTGGTGATTTCAAAGTTTCACTTCCACATAACATTTACAAAATAAGATGTGGGGCTCTCTTGTAGACTATATTAAAACATAAAGAGCGGCTCTTTTCAAAAAAATACTGTCCCAAAAAGGAGGAGCGTTTGAGTAAAGGACAGGTTTTTTTCTTTTTAGTCAGACCTATTCTAAAGGTTATTTTAAAGATAGCTTGGAGAATGGAGTATATTGGACTACAACTGCTTGCTGCTTAGCATTAGAAGAAACTCAGTTAAAAGATTCAAGTTAGGCTCTTCTCTTTTGATTGGTACAAGAATTTTTAGAGACCCACTACTTTTTTTAGGCGGATGAAGCTTTGTTTTGTTTTAAGTATCATTGCAGCTTTAAAAAGTACTCGGTATTAAATTTCGTCAGTCTTAAAATGAGACAGCCACACGTGAAAGAGAACCTTGTCTAACAGAAAAAACTTGATAATTCCCATGAACATCAAATTTGGCAATAAAAGTATGCCATCACACATTGTTACCATTGCTTCTTTAGCTGTCAGTCTGTCTTGATGATCATAGCGAAGAAGCTTATCCAAGAAATCGATGGCCTGTTCAAGACATGTGAATCCCTATTTGAAATCATAACACATTTATGAGGTAAAAAAGCTTTGTCAGGGGAAAATATTCTACCTCGGGTGAAACCAAATGCTGGTTATCTGAATTAATAAATCGCGACCAAGGTTTCCTGCTGTGCCTGTAAGATAAATATCCAAAGTCCGGTATGTTATATTATTATGTTAGGGAGTTACTGTACAACTAGAAGCGTGACAAGTTATTATAGATTAAATTACCTTCCAACCAGAGCATCAAGTTGCGGATCAAGCTCCAGATGATATTTGTTAAGATATGTATTTAATTCATCTGTGCCTAGGACCTGGAAATTGTACAAGTATATTTCATTGACACATTATCGGAGAAACGTGTTCCCATAAAGAACTAGCATGGAAAAATAATGTATTTAGACAGAGGTGACTAGCTCCATCATGAAAAATGATAACTGTCACTGTGAAACACAATCACCATTTATGATAAGCAAATTTGGCTTCTAAGAAAACTATAATAATCCAAGTTCTCCCAATAGTTTTACTTGATTGGGATGTCATCAAATAAAAACTTAAAGAGAATAATGATACTTATAATCAGATAAGCAGATAAAGAAAAAAAATTCGGAAAAAACATAATGGGGATCACTCTTCTTACTAAAACACCAATGGAAGTATATGTATTTTTATTAACCAGCAAAACTTAAGTAGTAAAACTAAGCTATCCTCCTCCTCTATTATGCACTGTAACAATCAGTGCATATGTCAAATATCTGTCAATCAATTAATTCAAAAGTTATTACCTGATAGAAAGTCAACAACTTGAACCACAAAAAGATTTTGACAGAATGAGCGCATATACCTTTGCAATTTTAACTAGTTGATCTTGGTTGTCATGGCCATAGAAGAAAGGTTCTTTCCTGAAAATCTACAGGTTAAAAAACATCAAATTTTATGTTGCAATTGGGCAATAGGAAGAGAGCATACACATAAAATCTAATACCATTCCTGCAAACATGCAACCAAGACTCCACATGTCCAATGAATAATCATAGTCTTGCAAATCCACAAGCAGTTCAGGTCCCTTAAAGTATCTGATTTGGGGAAAAGAGAAACCGATCAATATATATATAAAGAATACCATATAAGAAGGATCTATCAAATGGGAATATAATAGTAAAACTGAACGAGTCCCCATAAAACTATAATGAATGGAAACTAAACCTCGAGGCTACTCTGACATTGTACTCTTTACCAGGATGATAAAACTCAGCAAGACCCCAATCAATCAAACGAAGTTTTCTTAGTTCATGATCAATCATGACGTTGTGAGGTTTAACATCTCTATGCATTATTCCCTGGGAATGGCAATAATCCAGTGCCTGAAGTTAAGAGGGACTTTATCAGTGTGCTTATGATATTATACACAATTACTAATGTGTGAATTCAAGAAAATAGGCATCTAAAGACAATTAACTTACAAAACAATTTGCAGTTCTATATAAAATAGATAATCTTGAAAAGGCAAATCGTTTAGAATTGGAAAACTCGTGAACGATGTAGGACCTGAGTGGTTCAATAGAAACACCTAGATGGTGATGCAAGTATTGAGTGAGTTTAGGAGTCACCTAGGCGGCTAGCCATGCTATTTGTACTATGGGAGCAAAGTGCTAGCAATGATCCCAATGGATCAAAACCGTGAAACTAAAATAGTTTCATATTTTTATAAACAGCCAATCACATGAGAAAACCAGCATATATATGTGATTAATTGTTCCAAAGTAACCTATAACAGATTAATGCTAGAATGCTACCATACTACCATAGTCCCATGGTGTTGATTGTTAACGCTTTGCTCACCTTACTTCTTTTGCATATTAGTTATTCTTATTTTAATAAGGCAGACTAGACCAGAAGTATTGTGATGAGGAAGAAAATTTATGAGCACAGCACAATGAGTCATTCCAGACCAAATGTTAAATTTTAACACGAAAAAACAAGATTACAATGACCAGACAAGACCTAGTCACACCAAACCAAATCAGAAAGACTTGAACAAGTGACTTTAATAGCATGCTACAGCACCACTATAGTAGCGTAGCAGTGGCTGAACATTACCATATCCTCTGCACGGAGCAGTGGACTCTAGTAGCTATAGCGAGTACAATAGCAGCGGTAGTGGGCGCAAACGCGCAATAGCATCACTACTATTTATTTGGCTCGCCTTCATTGGGATTAGGTGTAATTTTGAACTTTAGATGTTTGAAAGAGTTAGAGTAGGTTTTTAGAGTGAAAAGTAACCACATAAGTACATCACGCACTCCTAGAACCTCCTCTTAGCCTTCTAAAAGATATGTGCTCAAAGTGGTTCTCTTTGAGAACATTCTGTGTGTCTCTGAAAACCTTAGGATGACACAACTCTTCAACAACCTTCTGTGCCTCTTTGACAAACTCGACTCGATCTGGCATCTTTTCTAGTATGGAGACTCAAAAGGGATACACGTGAATCCCTTCAACTGGCTTTGCCCTAGTAAAACTGATCTTGATTAGGAGTGGAACGGCTTGAAGGATATAAAAGGTGAGCAGAGTGTCACAGATGTTTTTTGTAGCAGAACAGCTACATGAGGAATTACCGGATCCAAAAGCGACAAATGGGAATAACTGGAGATGTAGGAATAGCAGTCATGACATTTCAGACTTTTATTGGTAATTTAGACATTTACTAATTACTGCCTCCGTCCCGGCTTAAGGTTCCCATTCAAAAGGGCATGATTTTTTAAACAATAATCAAACAATGTGCATTGAATATATTGCGAGAAGTAGTTTGATTTGGTATATAATATAAAGGGGTAATTAATGATAATTGTGATGTTATGGGTGTATTATTTTTAAAATGTCATGATTAAGTCGTCATTTATGGGTGTTAAACTGTTAATTATTTCCTAAAATAGAAATGGGGTACTTTAAATGGAACACGTCCAAGGCAAGTGAGAACCTTTTTGAGGGATGGGGGAGTACTATTTCTAAATGTCAGGAGTTAAGATTTTGAGTAATATTTATCATTTTTTGGTTTTGATATGTAATTGTATGTACACCATAGTTTATATTGCTTTTATGAGGGTCACCAAAGTGTGAGGCGATGAAAAAAACGTTGAGGCTTAAACTGAGGTCAGATGGTTGAGGCATTTGTGAGGATTAAGCTTTTGAGGCTTAAGCCCCATGTTTTCACTCTTTAACTTTATTTATTGTTTTAAAAAAAACATATCTGACCTATTATTTTTACAAGAAGTAGCCACTAAGGCAAAAGAAGCCCTAAAATCTATTTTCCAGAATCAACCATTCCTATCGCAGTATCACACAGCTCTACTTATAAAGTTCATATAGCTTACATTTACTTTGCACTCCTCCAAAAGTGCATAATGGTGAAAATGTTGAGCTAATTTCAATACTCTTAAAAGTGATGACCGCCCCAAACTCCTGTATTTTATGAACATGTCCTTCAATATTGCTACCAAGAGCAGACTCATCAGTCCATCTCAGTACAGAATCAGAGGAGTCCCGAATTGCAGAAAATACCACATTGCTGCCTTCCACATCCAGAACCGAAAGCTGATCAACTTTAAAATCAGGCTTCAAGATAGACTTCATCAACCCAACCTTATCAATAAAATCAATGGATGTATCTGGAAGATATCTATCACTCTTGTCTCTAGCTGAAAGTTGCACAGCAGCTGTTATGGCCTCATAAGTATATTTATACTTACTATACTCATCATTCCACTGCTGAGGTTTGCCCGTATAACCTCCTTTTTCCTTCCATTCCTTCCTGTCTTCATCTCTTAACTTCAAAACAGTGCCTACCAGTTTAATGCTAATCATTAGTATGATTAACTTTTGAAACCATTCTGGATGAATTCTTCAAGTCAGTGTCTTCTGCAGAGGATTCCATGTATAAGCAGTTGTCTGCTCCTTTTCCCCGGTAAACCCATTCACTGTGATTTTCTCAAACCCCGTCTTCTCCTTAATTACGTCCTTGATTTCCTCTTTCATATTCATTTGCCTGATTACAGGTTCAGTTAGTTCCATCTGTGTCTTCTTTATTGACTGGGCAATATCTTGTTCAGGGTGAGAAACTTGCAAACTACAAGAAGTTGTTGGTGACCTTGATGATACCTGTTTTTCTGTCCTCCCTGTCTTCTGCCGGTGTTTAGGTGGAAAATCCCTAATCAAGTCTTCCTTTAGAGCATTCCAACTATCTTCTCTCTTATGAAAATCCCACCAATGAAACCAGCCATCTGCTTCTTCCCCCATAGCCTTCGCTGCCACGTCCACTTTAAATCTTTCTGCAATAGCTTGGACTCTGAAATATCTTTCCATCCTCCCAATCCATTCATATGCTTCATGCTCGTAGAATAGAGGTAATTCCTCCTTCTTTGAAATAGCAGATTTCCGAGAATTGACTTTTGACGAGGAAGGTGAACTGTGAGAATCCTTTTGAGACGAATATGATGATTCTCCACTCCCTAGCTTCTTTCTTGAACGCATATTGATATCTGAGGAGTCAGTCTGCGAGTAAAGAGAAACTGTTCGCGTCTGTGAATAGTGATCGAAAGTTCGCGAGTGCGAGCCAAAATAAGTAGTTCGCGATCGCGAACTGGAAGATGAGGTTCGTGACTGCGAAATATGAGAAGTTCGCGATTTCATCTGTGAATCCGTTGGTGATAGCGGCTCATGGCTGAAGTTCCTCGATCGATCTCCAGGTCTTCTGCGAAGACTCTGTTCTTCCGATTCCTCTGAGTCAATCGGATGTTGCGTACGTCGATGAAGAGAGTCGCGATGCGACCTATGCGATTTGTGCGATCGATTCCGCGAACAATTTTTAAGTCGGTTCTGCAATTCTGCGATGCCAGCTTGCATCGTCACTTGCATATCAGCCATCATCGTCGCTAACCTAGCGTTTGACTCCCTCATTAGTCGGTCAATATTATCAAAACTCTCTTCCATTTGAGGTGTCATGTAGAAATCCTCCTCCATGCTTCAGATTCTCCGTCTCCGGGAAGTAAGGCTCTGATACCAATGATAGAACTTCCACAATTCCAGAATCAATCACAGAGAATTAAGAACAAAGTAAAGAAAACTGAATTTTATTCAAAGCAGGTAAACCGTACAGAGTTGTCCCAAAGAAGGAGATAGACTCCAACTTCCTAGTCCAAGTCCAATCCCCATTTCTGCCTTCCCTGCTCTTTCCCCACTTCCCACTCTTATAATAAGGCTACCCTCAAGGGCTGGCCCAAAATCATAACATAAATGGCCCAACAACCTTATTTGTACACTATTACATTATTTATTACTCCCCCCGTCCCAATTTGTAAGATACTTTACGGTTTACGATGTTTGACCGGTGATAAAGCAAGTTGATCCCTGTGAACACTCACATTAGTTTTAAAAAATAAAATTTACATATTCAGAAACTACATTAAAACCGCTACAAAACCTACAAAAAATAATTCAAATATCATAAACTTTTGATATATAAAGTAAAAGATTAAGAGTGATTTATGTTGACCAAGTGAATAGTAAATGTATCTTACAATTTGGGACTGAGGGAGTATAATTCTATTATTCTTATTATTCTTATGATAGTGGTTTTGGACACTTATTTATGACGCACTTTTATGTAGTATTGATAAAAAAACTTAAATTGTTAATAATTTGCAAAGGAAGCTCTGCATATTTTCTAGCTTCACGCCTCAAGACTAAAATTCTCCATTTTGAACATTGATGCATACACATAATATGCATTCTGCATAAGGATGTTTTCTTTTGGACTGTTTTTAGCCCCAGACCAGACTTAAACAGACCAGACCAGACTAGACTTAAACAGACCATACCAGACTTGGATAGTTACAAAATACACGGCGACCAGACATTTACCAGATCAGACCAGACTAGACTCAAACAGACCAGATCAGCAAATTCCAGTCCAAAAGAAAACATTTTAAAAGTAGATCGAACAATATTCATCCCACTATCCGTTATAGCGTTTCAGGGTAGGCTGCTATGCTCAGATATCCAGGTTGACAACAGTGATTCAAACTAGACCAGAATGATAGCCAAATCTTTAAAAAGGTCACATTTTTCAGGTCAGGAGGACGGTCCTAAACCTTCATTTTTCCTGATTCAACTAAGGATTTTAATGTTCTACTTCTACACTCCAATGTATGTGCTCTAGACGTCTTTTAGGCAACTGCAAAAATGGACACAATCAGAATGACTTAATAAAAACGGGTATTAGCCCTTACTAGGACTAAAATTAGCCCAAAATTCAACAATAGGAGTACAATCCCTTTATTCCCAAAATAGGATTGATATATGTGCCTTCTTCCCATTCTACCATCTTCCTATAATTTCCGATAGATTTATTTTATTAATAAGAAAATCATACTTTTATTTATAATAAAAATATAAAAATAATAAAATATTTATAAATTAATAATAGAAACATGAAAAAATAAAATTAAATTAAAAAATAATAATAAAAAATAAATAAAATATTTTAAAAACTTTAAAAAAAGTCTGTAAAATGAAATAAAATACCTAAAAATATTTAAAAAATATGTAGGTCACTGCCAACGCGTCCTCTACCTCCCAGCACCACCTACTCCGGTCTCCGGAAAAAAATGTCATCTTGTGTAAAAAATGCCACATTTCTCTGAAAATACCATGAAGATGGCATTTTTACTCTTTGAAAATATCCAACTTTCTCTTCAAAATTGCCATCATGATGACATTTTTTCCTCAACTTCGCAATCTTTTTCACCGACCGGAGGTGGTGGTGCTGGAAGGTGGCTGAGGTGGTGGTTGAGTTCTGTGTATTTTTTATTTATTTTTTACGATTTTTATTTTTTTATTTTAATTTTTTTATATTTTATAATGGTTGTTTGAAAAATACTATTAGGGAGGAAAGCGGAAAGGGTAGAATAGGAAGAGTTAGTCCTATTTTGGGAATTTAAACTTTAAACTCCTATTGTTGCAATTATCCTTTTATATGTCCTATTTAGGTAAATCTAGTTGTAGTTTTTGACTGCCCAAGAATTAGATGAGATGCTATAGCAAAATATTCTAGACGACGAGGTGCTACAGCCATATTAGACTTTATTACTACAGAAATTAGCTGTAGCTTTTGACTGACTGAGAATTGTCAAGCTTTCTTAGAAATTGAGTATTATACTTGTCCTAAGGTCTAATCTTAAACCTTAGACAATTTAGTAAACCTCGACAAAACCGGGCCAGGCCGCCCGGCCCGCCCAGCCCGTCCGCACAAATTGGCGGGCTTGGTCATATATATTTACCCACCGGGCCAGCCCGAGCCCGGCCCTCAATAAGATATGGGCGGGCTTGGGTTAGGGTGTAGGCCCGTTCGGGCCGATAAGCCCGGCCCGCTACATTTAGTATATATAAATACATATATTTATATATATACTAATTTATTTATTTATTTGCATATACACATGTATATTTATATTTACTAATTTTTCTTTATACATATTCATAGTTTATTATGTTTAAATTTAAATTTTTAGTTCTTAACAACTAGCCCAACCAATATAATATCTATTTTTGTACTTAAAGATAATACTTTGTGCTTAAATTTTAAATTTTAGATATAGTGTCTCATTATTATTTTTGTGTAAGTATTTTTTTTGTATGTGGTGAAAGACGTATAAACATTATAAGCGTATTAATTATTTTTTAAATGTTGTAATATTATTTTTAAAGTATTTAAAAAATCATATAATTTTGAAAAAATTAAAGTTTTCCCGGGCCGGGCGGCCCGGTGGACTACCCGGCCCCCTCTTATGGGCGGGTAAGGACATAGGGTTAGGCCCATTTTTGCGGGCCGAGTCGGGCCCGCCCACACATGATGGGCATAAAATTTATAAAAAGCCCGGCCTGAGCCCGGCCCGAACTCGTTTTTGTACAGGTCTACAATTTAGCAATGAATTATATTGAACCAAACTCCACAAAACAAGAACATCCAACTCCCTTCGCAACAACAAATGCCAGAGGTGGGACAAAAGCAAGATGTAAATAAGATCTATGTAGTAGTAATAGAGTATGAAAAGGGAACCTTGAGAAGCTCATAAATGTAGTAGCGGATATCATAATCTGTCAGTGTAGGATACAAGACTTTGAAATCTGTGCTGTTCACATATTCAAACACCAAACTGGGAGTTTTGGAGTGCTGATCTCGGACAATATCAAAGAGTTTCACAATATTTGGGCCTCCACAAAGATTCTGAAGTATTTTTATTTCCCTTTTTATCTGCACCACTAGGAAGGTTTAGCCTTTAGTTTTTAGAGAGAGAAGTCGCAACTAACAAGATAATGTGAGGGACAATTAGAAGGAAAAACTGAACTAGAGAAAATGATTCCTACATGAGTAGATAATGCAAAGAAAAGACCACATTAGATGCATTTTGCAGATGCAATTACATAAATACAAAAAACTGTCATAGGGGGAGATTTGAGACATATACTTACAGATATACATGCAAGCATGCATACACAAGTCACACACTCATATAAGAAGAATAAGAAGGTGATATTTTGAACCATTTTTCTAACTATTGATACAGTAAGCACCTAAGTGGCTTAGATTAGGCTTTCATCAAATGTTCAGAATTTCTTAAATCGTTACAACTTTAAAGTGCATATTTTCTACATAAATTTTTTCCATCATTTGCAATGGAGCCAAAGATTCACTATTTTTTGGCTTGAGAATATGATGGAATAAATCAAAATGGCTCACTAAACTGTCTGTGTTTCTTTGTTATGAAACAGCGATCAGTCTATACAATTTTGGATGCGATTTTCACCACGGGTCATCCGGAAACAGTCTCTCTGTGCTTTAGTACGGGGGTAAGACTGCGTACATACGACCCCCTTACCCTACCGTAGCCCGTAGGTGGGAGCCTTTGCGGCACTGGGGTAATGATAATGATGATGATTTACTACATAAATTGCACCTTAAGAAGTAACTGGAACACTTTTATCTGTTGACCGGTGCAATTTCTTATTTTGCATTTTCAAGCATATGCCTCATCACACATGAAGCTAAGCAATATATATATATATATATACACATATGTGTATATATACATATGTGTATATATACATATGTGTATATATACATATGTGTATATATACATATGTGTATATATATTATGAGAATTCTTTAACATTATATGTGATGGTACACATTTTTGGTAATAGTATATTGTGCACACAAGTCACGCTGTTGTAGATCTTTATAAATATTCATATCCACATTTTAGAAAATTGAGTGAAACTTACTCGAGGTGTATAGACTTTACCTTCTTCTTCTTCACAGGCTTAAGAATTTTGATGATGCATTTTTCACTATTGGAGACATTTATCCCCTCAAAGACCTCGCTGTATTTACCTCTTCCCACTTTTCGAACAACTTCATAATCATCCTGATCACTGAATGCAGATAATGCAATTTATGTAAAAGATATTTTAGATTCCTAGCTCAAAATTCGCTTCTGAGTTCTGAATGTATTATTGTAAAATAATGCATTCACCTACTAAATGGCTAAAATAATTCAGAATCAGCTTATGAACACCACGAAATACCAAGCTGAGAACTAAATTCATGCATTACCAATTTTACCATCATAAACAAAAATTTAATACTCCATATTTAGAAAGGTAAAACGTAAAGTTCAAAATGGGAACAAAGCAGATGAACAATTTGGGTTTTGGTATGGGATGAGTAAAAAGAAGCTAGCATTACCCCCACTGAACGGTGAGAGCCTCGTAGTCCCAATAATCTTTAGGACGGTGAACGTTGACGTCGGCGTAGACTCGCGCTTGAGACATATCCAATGGCTCCCAAGGAGGCGAAGGATCTGATGAAGAAGCTAAGCTATGGCAAAGCTAGAAGACGTTTCTCCCAGCCCATTTTAGATGTTGTCCCTCTCCATCTTCCAGTCTCCATTATCCAAGTCCGTGTCCCTCCCGCGGCGGTTAATCCGAAAATGATCGTTAATCACTTAATCCAGCTACGAGATCTTTCTCTACAGTACTTTTCGGCCTGCTCGTAGCATTCCCACTCGGATTATTGGGCCTGAAGAACTTGCCTTTGTATATAATTGGGCCATTTGTGCGCAGGCTCCTCAAAATTCAAATTGGGCTTGGGTTGAAATAATAATAAATGTGAAAAACATATCCAAAAACTTATACATTGTTCTTTTCAAAAAAAATCTATACATTGTTGTTCATAACTTCATATGCACAACTATAATCTTTGAATATGCAGTAGCTTGTGCACATGCCAACATGCTGTGTTTTTGTAAAGATAATTTTTTGGGTTACAAAAGATCATTTAATTAAAAGCTGTCAAATTGTTCACACATACAAATGTTATTTGTGAATAATATTAGTTTACGTTACATGCAAGCATTGGTCGTACCCTAGTATGTGTAATTTATTAGTCGCACTAGTAAATTGGTCGCGCATTGCGCGAATGTCGTATGACCAACTCTCAATTTCAATGAATTGTGTAAAATCATTTCAACATAAGTATAAATTAAATGTTTAGTTTTGGAGTTATATGATATGTTATAATATAAGACATTAGTTTTGACAAAAATGAGATGTAATTGAATTGGATACCGGTTATCGTAAAACATTATGAATATTGATAAAACAATTGATTTGCGAATATAAAAAATTGAAGCAAGAAACATGATTAAATATAAGTTTATATTTAACTTTCAATACTCAAAATGTCATTGGAAGGATTGTTATACGTATTATGTAATAGTTCAAAATAACATTCAATAATGATCATATAAATTTCGTTTTTAGAAATTTGAAAAAATTGAAAAGTAATAATTCAAAACTTATCAGGATTAATGGAATTGGGCCCCACTCCAACGAAAATATTGCAAGACCTAAAATAAGCAGGGCAAAATGTTTATCAAAATATATTACTAAAAATTAAAATCATAAACTCATAAAGGGATTTCATACAGTAGGGAATAATGCTAAATCTTTTAAAATCATATAAATTTTGTTTTAAAGAAATTTGAAAATTTTGAAAAGTAATACTCGTAATTCAAAACTTATCAGGATTAATGAAATTGGGCTCCACCCCTACAAAAACATTGCCAGACCTAAAATAAGCAGGGCAAAACGTTTATGAAAATATATTACTAAAAATTAAATTCATAAACTCATAAAGGGATTTCATACAGTAGGGAATAATGCTAAAATCTTTTAAGAGAGAATAATATAACTTACCTGTTAATGATCAAAATATATTGACAAGAAGGAGATCAAGGGAACTTGAAATTCCAACCATTATACCTACTTGATAAATGTTAAAATACTAAATATATAGCAATTGATGTGAGATGCTTTCCCTTCTTGAATGAGCATAGAAATCATGATCTTAATTTATAATCAATTTATTTCATTAAATTAAGGAATAAATGTTGAAAAATTAAAACCAATTACATTCGATGAGTCGAAGCAACAAATATAACAAAAAATAGAAGAAAAAGTGAATGAAGTCCGTGTGAACGGCTTTAACACCGTTTACTGTGAAGCTTGACGGTGCATTTGATCATCTGGAAGGCCAAACAAATGGAACACTCTAATAGCATGTGGTACTATGGTTTAAAGCCTAATATGAATGAAAGAAGTAAGCAATGAGCATTTAATGAGAAAACCGGCCCTTATTAAGATAGGTTAAGATATTGTTGAGGTTTAGTCTCGAATGACCTGAAGGCCAACACCAACCTTGGATCTAGGGTGCGATTTGCTACAGTAAAGTGTATAAAAGAAAATATAAAATATGATTCAACTACTCAAATAACTCAGCTTGTATTAACGCAGTAATAACAATTACACAGAAATGGCTGAACGGTTGTTCAAGTCCAAAGGTTAATACAAGAGCTAGAATGCTATTAGAGCTAGAGAGTCAAGAAATACTAACCCTTACAAATGAATTAAATGCTGTTATTTATACTAGATGGGGGTATGGGGTGCTCTAATATGATTGGTTGCCTCCCATGCCACTTGATGCCCTCATGAGTCATGATCCCACATTAACTGCAGTCAGTTACTTGAGCAATTCTCGTTCGGGATGTGCCGAACGGGGCTTGCCGTTCGGGCCTGATGATTTTCCCTTGACCTTCCCTTGCGTCTGGGCTTCAGGGATATTTCGGGCCGGTATATTGGGTCGGACACTAATATCCCATCACAAGTCCCCCACTTTCGATGTTCCGAGCGTGCTCAGGACATGAGGACATAGAACCGTAAGCTTCCCGCCGTTCGGTGTAATTTCATACGGTGCTCTTTGATAGTGTTTGTCTGCTCCTGATGTGACGGTTCGAAGTCCTTTGGCGGTTGTCGCTTGTATTCCTTGTGTAACTGTCATGATTACCCGTCGTTTCGCCTCCGTGCGACATGTGTCCCTTGGAGCGTTTCTTGCCACGTGTCACTTTGTGACTGGTTGGTGTAACGGCGCCTCTAGTCCATAAGTAGGGGTTTTGGGCTCTGGTTCTGGATTTTTGGATTTTCGCCCCTTCGCTCAAGTATTCTGCCTTCTTTCCAAATCCCTAATTTCGCATTTCGCTCATGTAACCACGAGTCCTCTATCTTCTTCTTCCTTCCCTTTATTCCCTGGTTCGGTGCAAATGTCTTCGAGCTCTTCTGACCCTTCGGTCATCGAACCGCTCCGAGGTTCAGAGGAGAATACCCAGGCAAATGATGTTGCGGGCATCAAGGGTGCCGCAGAGGATATGGCAGGAAGCTCTTCCACCGCCAATGCTTCCGAGGATGCCGCTCCTAGCGATTCCTCCGATGATGCGTCTAGTAGCGACTCTGATAACGCCATATCCGGAGATGATATGGTGGTAATGAGAACAGGCCCTCCTGACGATGCCCCTCGTCACCATTTGGACTTGAGGCCCATCCGAAATCAGAGACAAAAGTTGTCTAATAAACTCAGTGCTCAAGTTCCTGCCCTTATTCATGACCCAATTGACTTCCGCCTTCATGCGGTCTCCATCCTCTGCGCCACCGCCCTGTGATGGTGGTGGTGCATTTTGATTCTGTTAAGGCTGGGCTAAGATTCCCGATGCACCCCTTCTTCGTGGCCCTTTTCAACCACTACCAAATAGTCTCGGCCCAAGTAATGATGAATTCATATCGGGTCATAGCCGGGTTCATATGTCGCTGTAAGGATGTTGACTTGGAGCCCGTTCTGGATCTCTTCCATTACTTCTTCAAGGTTGCCCCCAGCAAACCGACGAATTCCTGGCAGTGAGTGCCCGAACGAAAAGGATCATCTTCAAGGGAAACCTTACCTCTGTTAAGGGATGGAAAGATCATTTTTTCTTTGTCTCTATCCCGGATGGGCTCATCCCCAAGAGGTAAAATGCATACCCGCCTAAATCCACCGAGCCCCTTGTCACCAAGGAGTTGGAACAGAAAATCGTTGCAGTAGAGAGGGCCGAGCCGCTCAATATCCTGGCTTACTTGACTTCCGTCCGGCTTGTATAAGCCGAGATAGGTAGCGTCCGAATTCCTGGGACTCTTGACTAAAAACCAAGTGTCATGGCTCGGGCGGTCCTTCCCGTGCGAGAAACTCACATATGCTTGTTTCACACACGCTAAGACCGCTCGGTACTAACATATTCCTTTCTTTCTTTTCAGTTCCCAACACCGAAGCGTCAATGGATCTCGGTCGTCTTTCACCTATGGGCGCTGGCAAAAGGAAGAAGCCATTCAAAAGGCGCCCCGAACAGGGGACGCTGGGCCTTCCCAACCGGTGGCCCAGGAGGCCCAGCCCATTCAGCAGGTGCCTGTTGATCATGTGAACCTGGAGCATATGGAGATCGATTCGCAGTTTGAGGCTGCTCATACCGATCCCTTTTTTTACTGACCTCCCCGGCTCGAACGGGGCTGTCAAACTGGATGTCGTTCAGGCGGAGCTGGCCAAGCTTGTGAAGCGGATTTCCCTCGAGGAATCCATTCACGAGGTTATGGATCAATCTGGATGCTCACTCCTCCGGATCTGGAACACTACTGCCGATATGAACGACTTCCGCCTCCCGCCGCTGTCAGTGGAGTAAGCCTAAGTAGGGGCTGCACTGGGCACCATGAAGGTAACTATTCATGTTGTTCGCTCTTCTTTTTATGCCTGAGTTTGGCTGTTTATTCTAATCGAGTGTTTTTTCCTCAGGCTAGTCTGTACAACCTACAACTCCACCATGCTCGGGCGGCCAAGGAGGCGGAGCTGGTCAAGGCCAATTCTCAGGCTGAACAGGCGGCTGTAGATGCTCTTCGCTCAGCTGATCAGGAGAGGAAGAAGCTTGAAGAAGAGCTTGGCCAGCATCGGGTGGTTCTTTCCACTGCTCAAGCCAAGGTGGCGGCTGCTGAAGCTGTTCAAATTGTCCTCAAGGATAATGATCCCCAAATCCCGGACGGTCCTAGAGAAGTCACTCTGGATCTGTCCACCGTCCGTGCTACCGCTCAGACTGAATTTAAATCCTCCGAGGATTTTAACAAGGCCGCTAAAGAGTATGGGGTGCCCCATGCCGGCACCCTGTTTAGGAAGAATCTGAAGTAGTTTCCTCAGGGTCCCGACCCTCAGAAGAAAGGGGTGAAGCTGGCCGATGAGACCCTGATTGGCAAGAAATAGGCCACTGTCATGGCCAAGGAGACCTTCAACATGGGGTGCCAAGTGGTGCTGAGGGGCGTGGTGCCAATTATGGGGCGTCTGGCCGGTCAGCAGGTTGATCTGAACGAGGTTTCTGAAGATAGAGTTCTCCTGTACCAATATGACAAGTACTGTCGGGCCCTTCAAAAGGAAGCCGACCGAGCAGCTGGTAGGGAGCCTGAACCCTCAGATGATGATGATGATGAGGACGAGGCTGATGAAGATGATGAGGATGAGGATGTTGAATGAAATATCGATTATCAACCCCTTCCTAGATAGACTCCCCCCTTTGCAATGTATCCATATGTTTTTCCTCTTTATCTTTTTGGTATATTCCGGTCGGTAGAGCCGAAGAGTAAAATACCCCTTTTGTCGA